GAATAGCCACTCCCGTCAAAATGGAAGGCAGAGTCCTCATCCTGGGGGCTGCACAGCAGAAGAGATGAAGGACACCCCCTCTCAGCAGGCGGGAGAGCAAACCACACTCCGGCTGAGCTCTCCCGTGCAGAAGTCATGAATTTGAAAACAAGCGTAAATCATAATATTTGAAAATATGCTTGCCACGAGATTGTGCAAAACAAAGGTCTAGCTGTTATAAAAAGAAAAGAAAGTCAATGTAGGCAGTGTTCACTACAGGAAAAAGAAATTTCTTCACAAGNAAAATAGTGCTGAGACATTTACCTACAAAGCAATGTCATTTCACTGCAGGAAGACCCATGATGAACACCAGTGCAGTGTTTCACATTTATAAGGTATCTTCACATACATCAGGCTGTGTGTTCATCAAGATAATTTTGGAGGGTGGGCATGACAAGTATGATTATCATTTTCCTTTTCTGGAGGAAGAAACCAAACCTCAGTGAGGCGAAGAGACTTATTATCCAAAGACATGGAAAGAATTTGGTGGGAGACCTGGGACAGGAGCCTGAGAAACTTAGACTCCAAATCCAATATTCTTTTTAGTCCTAAGACTGCAATAATCAAGCTTCTGGTGATAACNGAGAGCAAACCACACTCCGGCTGAGCTCTCCCGTGCAGAAGTCATGAATTTGAAAACAAGCGTAAATCATAATATTTGAAAATATGCTTGCCACGAGATTGTGCAAAACAAAGGTCTAGCTGTTATAAAAAGAAAAGAAAGTCAATGTAGGCAGTGTTCACTACAGGAAAAAGAAATTTCTTCACAAGAGGATAACTGTTATAAACATTCCTACTTAACAGATTTGTTGTTCTACTTTTCTTTAATGAAACTGCCTCTTCTTAATTCCAGTGCTTTCAGAATCATTTTTATATTGGCATTCACCACCTTCTGCTGGTTTTAACTAACACATCAGGTAAACTGGAGTTACAATGGAAAACAAATACGTTCACACGTACTAACAGGATCATTTTACAAAAGAAAATCCTTAACATCCTCAAAAGTCTGCAGGATGAGTTCAAAGACTTGTATCGTATTTTGAGATGAGTATATGGCCTACAAGAAAGTTATATAATGTGGACCAGAGCACTTTTCAGATTGGTGTGTTTTCTAGTCTTCTCCCTCCACACCTCAAAAGGCTGACTTCGATTCAATATTCATTTACAGAGTAGTTCATCTGGAACATATAATTGTGTTTCAAAATTACTTTTTGGAATACCAAAGGGCTTGAGAGTGAAACTTGGATTAGGGTGGATTTGGGCTATGAATTTGAACTATTCCCAGTTGAAGGTATAACAGCAAAACTCAGTGCCACATCTCCACGCAGGACAGTATAACCAAACAGGGGTCTCAAGGGGAACAAAACCAGTAGCCACATAGCCAACAGACTTCCTTACCCCAACAAGAGAGAAGAATTAGCAATCATTAAATTCACTCAATGGTGCAGTTTGAGGTCAGTGGTTTTAACATAACCCTGAAAATGACTGATGAAAATAGGGGACCTTATAACAGCTAAAGTTGAAATATTCAACCTTTGTTAAGGCTTTCCTTTCTAAAAGTAAGGTCAGTGGAGGGGACAGAGTCTAGGGGTTGGGGCATTTTTCATGTTAGAATTGCTACATGGCTGGAAAGAGCTCCTTGCTAGAAACTCAGCAGAAGGAAGAAGTGACGGATCATAGAGCCGGAATTCATGTGCTCATCCTGCCGCAGTTTAGCGCAGTGTTGTTCCCTCACCAGGTACTAGCATTTTGGATCAAGCTTGCCAATTACAAAATCTTGGTTTTTCACACGTTTATGGTCAAGAAAATAGTGCT